AAGAGGTGTCCCCAGGTTGGAACACCCTGTGATCTTCTCCCAGGGACAGAGGGTGTCTCTCTGAACAGACACTTGTTACATTACTATCTTCTCCCCAGACTCCAAAGACACATTTTTCTCTGAGCCCTTTTATCTGGAAGGGCTGAAGAGGAAACAGATGAATGGTCTGGGTGAGGTTTGAACGGTTTTCTTAAATCAAAACCCCAGGAAAAATTCACTTTTGCTTCTGAGCATATGGACTTGGAGCGAGGGTGTAGAATTAGCTCTTAGAAAGCGGGAGGGTTGGAGAAGGGCCTCCCTGAAGCGTGGGCTCTTTAGTAATCTGCTTTGTATGAATGGGGCTGGGGGAGGAGGGGGTGAGGGGCGCACATGCTTGGAATTCCTTCATCTGGGTGGGCTTCTTCTCTCCAAACTTTCAGGATGTGGGAAACGGAAGATGAAGGAGGCTGGATTTCCAGCCTCTCGGGTTACAGTGTGAGAGATGGAGAGAGAAAGAGGCAGGGGGTGCGAGAGGGGGGCGGGAAAGCCCTCCTGAGAGGGGCCCCGGGAAACCCAGTTTGAGTTCTGGCTGGGGAGAGTGAGAAGAGACGGCTGGAGCGTGGGGATCACATTTCAAGTCACATCAGGACTGTGGAATTTCCTCTCTTGGGGGGGTGGAGGGAGGCGGGGGGGAGCGGCGGCTCTGAAGATGCAGTTGGTTTAAGGTTAGTTGGTGATGGATAGTGGCCCACGGGCGCCCGATCGAGGATCTCACTTATTAAACGGATTGGTGTTGACAAGCCAAGCGGTCCTGGAGGGGTGCTGGGGCCTTCCTCTGCCCGGGTGGTTAGCTAAAGCCCGTGACCCGAGAGCCGTATCCATGTATGGATTTTATTTGTGCCTGACCTCTGTGGTATGCAGAGAGCCAACGCAGGGGCCGCGAAGGGGAACTGCGGGAACGGGGAGGTAGCAGAGAAGGCGGGAGAGATTGTAGCGAGGGTGTGGAATCCCAGGCCTGCTTTGTGTTTCTGGAGTCCCTGGGGCGTCCCGTCCCTGAAGAATCTGTGTCTACTCTACCTAACTACACAGCGCTGACTCCTAACCGCCTGGCATCACCTCAGATGTAGATTTTGGGAAATGCATGCCTCCTTTTTCTGTTCAGAGAGCACCTAGTGCCCCCTCCTCTAGGACCAACACTCTCTGTGTGAAATCTATAATGCTGGACCATCCTTCCAGGGCCTTGTCGTCTCATCAAGAAAGGTCACCGAGGAGCTGGGACCAATCACGAAATCCTAGCCCAGCAAAGTACACAGCCTGGAGCAGAAGGAACACACATTCAAGGTCAGCCAGGGTTACGGTTTCAAGATTCTGCCCCAGAATACCAAACCAAACAACAACAACAACAACAAATTCTGCACAAATAAAACCCAGAAAATGAGAAAGTAGCAGGCTTCATTGCAGCCCAATCTGGCCTCACACTTGGGTAGCCCAGGGTAGTCTCGAACTCCAGATGTTCTCCCCTCATCCTCTAAATGTCCAACTCAAGCAAGAAAAAATAATTATTTCTTTGAGACAGGGTCACATGTAGCCCAGGCTATCCTCAAGTTACGTTGCCATGGGATCTAAAACTTTCCGTCCTGCTTCCACCTCCTGAGGTGAGTGGGAGTACAGGTGTGTGGCACCTCGTGGCACTTCTTGGCGTGGCACCAGGCTTGACACGCCAGCCCTGGGCACCGAAGGAAGGGCTACAAACACACTTTTCAAACAAACACAGGCGTTCTGTTCTACTAGCTGAGCTACACCCCGGCTGAGCAGCAAGGAATATTTATTAAGCTCTTCTTCCTCCCATAATTGAGAATGCATCGTCTTGATGTTGTGATGGGCAGGAAGTTATTTAGGCAGTATATAACTGTGTCATACGACACACGGCAAAGACGCCGCTGCTCCTTTAAAAATTAGAATACAATAAAACACACCTGTCAGAGACCATCCTGAACCTCCTTTAATCTCTGCCCCCTCCCATATCCCCCCACCCCATTTCAGAAAGATGCTCAGGTTTCTCAGTTTATCAGGGTCATCATTTTCAAGCATCTATTAGAGTCATCTCCCAGTCGAGGGAGAGATCCAGTTAATAAAGATTTCTGCTTGATAGAGCCGAGCAATCTATTAGAACTGCCTCCACCAAGCAGTCAGAACCCAAGGGTTCACTGTCACACTGCAGACCGCAGGAGGATGCATGACCCCCTCCTCTCTGTCCTTCCCAACCCTGCTGCCTCTGCTAGCTTCGAATGTGTGTGTATGCACACGGATAATACTCATCTTTTGTATTTAATTATGTGTATGTCTGTGTGAGGATGTGCATGCAGATAGGTACCCTCAGAGACCTGAGGCACTTGGGCCCTCGGGATGTTGGTAGGGCCCAATGTGGGTGTTGGGAACCAAGCTCGGGACACTGCAAAAGCAAAGCGTGCTATTAACTGCTGAGCTGTCTTGTGCAGTTTATGTATTTGGTATATATTTTATAGAAATATTTCCTTTGAGGTTTTGTCTGTTTGTTTGATTGATTGTTTTTATTTAGACAAGCCTCTCTGGCCCACCGTGTTCTTGAACTCGTTGTGCTGCCTGAGGATGGTTTTGAACTTCTGATCTTCCTGAGTGCTGGAATTACAGTGCTGCGCCTCCACTCCCGGTTTATGAACCGGTGCGGCTGGAGCCCAGGGCCTGGTGCGCGCCAGGGCAGCAGTCTTCGAGCCCCTTCTCCGGCTCTGTGTCTCCTGTCTCCCTCTCCGCCTCACCTCCCAAACAGATCCTCGGCCTTGCGCTTTTCCAGACTCTGCTGAGAGTCATTCGTGTAACTAAGACTTTGATGTTTTTGAAAAATATTTATTGCTGAGCTGCTGTAGCGCAGGCCTTTAATCCCAGCACTCGCCGGAGGCAGAGGCAGGTGGATCTCTGTGAGTTCGAGGCCAACCTGGTCTACAAGAGCTAGTTCCAGGACAGGCTCCAAAGCTACAAGGAAACCCTGTCTTGAAACACCACACCCCCCCCCAAAAAAAAAAAGAAAGAAAGAAAAATATTTATTTAGGGGCCGGGAGAGACAGCGCAATGGTTAAAAGCACGTGTTGCTCTTGCTAAGGACCTGAGTTGATTCCCAGCACCCACACCTCTGCTACTCACAAACACCCCTAGCTCCAGTTCCTGGGGCTATAACATCCTCCTCCCACCTTTTCAGGCACCAAGCACACACCTGGTGCACAAACACACATGCAGGCAAAGCCTACGTACACATTAAAATAGATAACTATTTCTTAAAAAACGCCTTTTAAAATGATTTGTCAGTGTGGTTGTAGGTGTGCTGGGGGCACACTCAAAGGTCAGAGGTTCTCCCATCCGTCCTTGTCCTTTACACAGGCCAGGGGCGTAGAGCTCAGGCCTCCCAGCTCCCACAGCTCCTTCATCCCCGAATCGCTTCTCTAGCTCTTCTTTTTTTTTGGGGGGGGGCACAAGGTCTCATAGAGCCCAAGATGTCTGTGTCATTGAGGGTGACTTTGAAATCCTGATTCTCCCACCTCCACCCCTTAAATGCTGAGTTACCGGTGTGTCGCTGCTTACACCCAGTGTGACTCTTTAAAACTGAGACCTAGTAAATCAGGGGGAGGCACAATATCTGAACTGGTCCTTCTGGAATTCTCTGTGGTTTCCTAAGAACAGGGACGCTTAGGAGCCAGAATGCTATTTTCTGTGTGTACAAGTAAAATAAGTCAACATGGATTTCTATTCTTGGTGGAAATGAAAATTAATTTTCGAAAGGCCTGTAGCCGTTCAGTCCAACTGTCCTGCTGCTGACCCCAGTGGCTGAGGGCCCCAGGATTTAAATGTTAAAATTAGAATTGGCTTTGAGGACTGGCCTTATTTACCAGCCTGGCAGCTTGTTTTTATTTACTTAACACTTAATACCGCGTTTGCTGGGAGCCAAGCACTGGTGTAAGCATTTTTCAAATATTTGCTGGGTTATTCTTCAGACTGGGGATGCCATTATATAAGACTGCCACGAAGCTGGGCTATTATCTTCACCTCACGTATGAGGGACCCAAGATGGGGGTGGGGTTGCAGTGGCATCAGTCAACCTCGGGCTGTGAGTTCCAGCTCTCTTCCACAGCACGCCCAGAGAGAGCTAGGTGATACAGCCATTTTGACAGTAAATCACTGCCCCTGGGGCAGGGGAGGCAGTGGTACGAGACCATCTTCCCAGGAGCGAGGAGGACCCTAGTCCGTCTGGCAGAGAGGGCTTAGCAGTCCCAGGAAAGGGAGCGTTCCCTCCCGCTGGCTTGTGTATTGAGTCCCCAGAACCTTTTTGTTATTCAGTCCACAGTCCCCGTCTTGTGCCGTTTCCGTTTCCTTGAACAGCAGGCATCTAGACATGATGCTGGTCCCCACAGCTTCTGACCTCATTACTCATTCTGTTTACGGCGAAGCCTCACCCTCCAGTCTGCCCTGATTTCCCAGCCAGGAATTTGGCTGCCCTCCTTGACTATGATTCAGATTTTCACCCCAGCGACATTGCAACCAGGTCCTCCTGTGTGCACACCCCTCCGACCTCCTGGGGACCCTGTCCGGGGAGGAAGGCGGGGGCTCTGTGAAACACAGCCCAACCCAGAGTTTGGACCGGGTTGTAGGGGACTTCAAATGAAATTGAAAAAAAATAGAGGGCTGGCTTCCGCAAAGGCTTCTGAGGAAGGGACCGGCTGGAGACGGGGCCTGTGGTGGTACACAGTAGAAGAGCCACAGTTGGCCACTGCTGTTCCCCGCACCAAGCCCCTGAGGAGCTGATGCCCTGAGAAGGGGACAGGGTTCTAATAAGGGGGGGGTCTCCACCTCAGTCACCAAGTGGAGACTTGACAGATGTCTCCAGTATTTGGCCTGTTTATGTCAAACCTCTAGATACCTCTCACTCCCATGTTCATTTACTTACTTATTTACCTGTTCTTGGTTCCGAGACAGGGTTTCTCTGTGTGGCCCTGTCTGTCCTGGAGCTCGATCCATAGATCAGGCTGGCCTTGAACTCAGAGACCCACTGCCCTGCCTCCAGAGTGAGTACTGGGGAACTCCCAGTCCCCCCCACCTGGCTACTTTTTTATTTATTGAGACGGGATCTTTGTGATGCTCGGGGTGGCTGAAAACTCACTATGTAGTTGAGGATGACGTTTGAACTTAAAAAGAAATTACATTTGTTATTGCGTGTGTGTTCCTGTCATACAGCACCGGTGGAAGTCAGAGTACAACTTTTGGGAGGCGGCTACTTTCATCATGCGGGTTCTGTGAATCCAGGGGTCGAACTCGGGTCCTCAGGCTTGGCAGCAAGCTCCTTTGCTTGCTAAGCCATCTTTTGATCTTTCTCCCTCTACTTCCTAATCCCTGGGAATACAGGCGTGCATGGCTCCCCTGGGCTCCAGGGTGAACACTCACTGCCTCGGAGCTTCCCATTGGACACCCAGGATCTTATAAACTTTGGGTGACATTCCTGAGTACCTCATGTGGTCCAGAATTCTAGATCCCCACTCCTATACACACCTATCTATATTGTTCGTCTCTTCCCTTTCCAGGTTGCAAAGCAGACAGAAAGAACAGCACAGACCCAGGCGGGCTCTGGCTGCGGGCAGTGGAATTCCAGACTTCAGTTTGCACAGCCTGGACTCATTAAAGTTGAAAAGAACCTGCTTGTGATTTGATTTTAGCCCTGAAGTGATCCCAGGAAGGGTTGAGACAGGGGTGGGGAGGACCCCTAAGATTCTAGCTGGTCAGTGTCTGTGAAGGGAGGGCTGGAGGCACTCAGGGGTGTGGGGACCATTCCAGAAGTGTCCCTATCTCCTGGCCTGCTGAGAGGGAAGTCCCAGCTTCACAGGGCCTAGGGCCTTGACTTCCCCCTCCCAGATCTTTAGATACCTCGGATGGATTGGCAGCAACTGTATGACATCAAGGAGACATTTTCTTCTTTGTGAGCTCAGCGCTTCCATTTCAGAATTCCTCAGTCACAAGACAGAAGCCGCAGAAGCCCAGGCACACACTTGTGGCTGCAGCAGGTGACCTGAGTTTGTTCCAAGCCCTCCAGAGGCTGCGTAATCCCTGGGATTCCGGCGGCTGGCTGCCTGGATGGCCATGTAAGGTGCGGCGGCTGGCCTTGATTATCCCTCAGAGCTGACAGACTCCTGAGGGCCTGCCCAGATGGAGCCGGTCCATTGGCTGATGCCCGGGAATCACAGGCCTCCCCTAGCAGTCTCTCCTGTTTGCCTCTATTGTTTTTATTTATGGTTCATCTCATCCTTAGGTTGGAAGTTACATGAGCAAGTCTAGTATGCTGGTGCATGCCTGTCCTCTGAGCACTGCAGAGGCTAAGGCAAGAGCATTGCTGACACTGGAGGCCAGCCTTGGACTATGTAGTAAGCTCCAAACCAGCCACCCAGCCACAGGTACAGAGTGAGTCCCTGTCTCAAAATAAACACAAACAGATCCTCTATTCCAACACACACACACAAACACACACGCGTATTCCAGAAATAAAACAAAATATTTTTATAGGATACAATTAAGTGAGATCAAAGTTCTACAAGCATGCTGTTTTTTGGTTTTTAGATTTATATATGTAGCTGGAGCCCCTGGAAGTGAAATTACTGATGGTTGTGAGCCTTCATGTGGGGGTTAGATACCGAACCTGGGTCCTCTGCAAGAACAGCCAGTGCTCTCAACTGCTAAGCCATCCCTCCAACATTCTGCCCAGCCCAGAGCCCTTGGGAGGCAGAGGCAGGAGGATCTCTGTGAGTTTGAGGCCTAGTCTACACGGCAAGTTCCAGGACATGGCTGTTACATAGAGAAATTTGGTCTCAAAACACACACACAAAACTTAAACAAACAAATAAAGAGAACATTCTAATATAATCTAATTGGTACATATAGTAATCTTTATACATGCTTGAGAAACGACAGTTGGAAAGTGTAGAAAGCTTAAATCGTTATGTTTCTTTCTTCTTTAACTTTTTTTCTTTTTTTGGTTTTTTGAGACAGGGTTTCTCAGTAGCTATGTAGCCAGACCTGAAACTCACTTTGTAGACCAGGCTGACCTCAAACTCACAGAGATCCGCCCACCTCTGCCTTCCGAGTGCTGGGATAAAAGGCGTGCGCCACCGCCGCCGCCACCACCACCACCACCACCCAGCACAAATCATTATGTTTGTATTAGAGCCAAAAACTTTAAACCCATAGAGTCAAACACAGCATACCACAGCAAGGATCCCAAGGTGAGGGATTTCGGGCAGGGTGGATCATGGTGGGATAACCTGGTCATGGTGAGACAGCCCTCGAAACCGAGGTTTCAGCTAGGGCGCGTTGGACACATGGGTGAGTGGTACCAGGGACACCTGGGATTGGTCCCTTAGTGTGCTTTTGGATTAAGTTTTACTGGCTGTGACTTCAGAAATCTTGTTGCCTGATTTGATGACACTGTCCCCTCATTTACCCAGCAAACTCCACATGGTAGCATGACTCACGATTTAAGAAGCTAGGCCCAGGGGTGGAGAGATGACTCAGAGGTTAAGAGCATTGGCTGCTCTTCCAGAGGACCTGGGTTCCATTCCCAACATCCATAAGGCAGCTCACAACTGTCTGTAACTCTAGTCCTGGGGGATGCCACACCCTCTGAGGGCACCAGACACACATGTGGAACACAGACATATATGCAGACAAAACACTCTTACACATAAAATTAATGAATAAAAACAAAACTTATAGAACAAATAAGATTAGGCCAGGCATAGTGGTACATGCCTAATCCCAGCCCTCCCTCAAGAGTGTGTCTGTAGATAGATCTCAAGTTCAAGGGCAGCCTGGTCTATAGCCTGTTCCAAGCACAGATTACACACCCTTGAGTCTGACCCCGTCTCACAAAGTGTATTGGGAGTTGGGGCTTAGTAGAGAGAGAGCCAGTATGGATGCATCTTTCACTACCACAAACAAAAACTCAACGTGGTAAGTTAAGGCTGTGTTCCAGCGAAGTTTCCCGGTAGCCAGCGTGGCTTGGCACCCACCCATCCCTAGTCGCTGTTGAGAGGCTGGACTGTGCACATCTCAGAGTGTGCGTTTCCCAGGGTTGCATTTGGACACTGTCCTGTGAGCTCAGATCTGGAGTTTGGATACTGAAATATCTTCTGGCTACTCTGAGCGGTGCTCCTTGAGGCACCTCCAGCTGGCTAGCAGGTGACACAAGGTGGACAACAGCTGAAAATGCAGAGTGTGTCTTTAGCATCCCAAGACCTGCCAGGAGCTGGGATTCCTCTGGAGAGGGTGTCACCCAGGGGCAGAGGGCCTTGCAACTAGGTGGGTGGGACTCTGAAGGTAGCCACCCAGGAGCCCGCAGGGACAAAGGCCATCTAAAAGGTGTTTGGCTTTTTGTTTCGTTTTTGTTTGTTTGTTTGTTTAGTTGATTATTTTGTTTTTTAAGACAGGGTTTCTCTGTAGGTTTGGTGGCTGTCCTGGAACTAGCTCTTATAGACCAGGCTGGTCTCGAACTCACAGAGATCTGCCTGCCTCTGCCTCCCAAGTGCTGGGATTAAAGGCGTGCGCCACCACTGCCCAGCTAAAAGTTTTATCTTTATCTGTGTGTGTGTGTGCACGCAGACCTATTGCTGTGTGCTTGTGTGTGAGCGTGCATCTGGAGACCAGAAGTCCGGATCTGGTGTGTTTCTCACTCACTAAGATTGGCTGTCCAGGCAGCTCCAAGGCCCCTCAGGCTTCCATCTCTCCTGCTCTGAGATTACAGGCACACACCCAGGCTGCTTCCATGGGCGCTGCTGATTGAGCTCGGCCTCTTTTGTTGTTGTTGTTCTTTCTTTTGAGACAGGGTCTTACTAGGTAGCCCCGGCTATCCTGGAGCTCACTACAGAGACCAGGCTGGCCTTGAACTCACAGAGATCTGTCCCCATCTCTGCCTCCTGAGCACTGTGATTAAAGCTGTGCACCACACACCTGCTTTAAACTCAGGTTTTCACGCTTGCTTGCAGAGCAAGCACTTTATCAACAGGGCCATCTCTTCAGCCTCTTATTTATTTATCTATTTATTTATTGTGTGTGTGTGTTTTGAGGCAGGGTCTCATATTGCCCACACAGGTCTCAAACCCACTATTTAATTGAGGATAACCTTAAACTCCCATCCTCCTGCCTCCACTTCTCAAGGACTGAGACTACACCTGGCCACAAAACTGATCTGTCATTTCTTTCCTAAAACCTTACTGGGGCTGGAGAGATGGCCAGAGGTTAAGAATGCAGGCTGTTCTTCTATGTTCTGGGGTTCACAAAGGACTGTAACTCCAGCTCCAGGCCATCTGATGCCCTCTTCTGGCCTCTGAAGGGAACTACACTCAGGTACACACATACCTGCACATAGACAGAATTTTGAAAGGTCTTTCTTTTCCTTTAAGACAGGGTCTCACGATGTAGCTCTGGCCATGTAGACCAAGTGTTAACAAACTCACAGAGAGCTTGCCTGCTTCTGCCTCCTTCTCTGTCTTGTTGTTGTGGGATATTTTGATCACACTGTGACACTCTTGAATGGGAGGGTGTAGCTTTTTGTTTCTTTGTTTGTTTGTTTGTATACTCTTTGGGGGCCCACCACCCAGCTCCCAAGTAAACACATGGAGATTTATTCCTTATGAATGGCGAGCCTTAGCTTGGTTTATTTCTGGCCAGCTTTTCTTAAATATCCTGTCTACCTTTTGTCTCTGGGTTTTTACCTCTCTCTATTCTATACACCTTTCTTTCCTCCTTACCCCATGGCTAGTTGTGTGTCTGGGTGGCTGGCCCCTAGTGTCCTCCTCTCCTTTTTTTTGGCTCATCCCTCTTCTCTCTTCTCTTATTCTGTTTGCCAGCTCCACCTATACTTTCTCCTGTCTAGCTATTGGCCGTTCAGTTCTTTATTAGACTCATCAGGTATTTCAGACAGGCAAAGTAACACAACTTTACAGAGTTAGACAAATGCAACATAAAAGAATGCAGCACTTCTTTGCATCATTCAACAACTATTACATGGCATAAAAACGCAACACATCTTTAATATTCCACAATGAGGGGGGCAGAGTCTAGCTGACTAGAATTGGCCACAGAGAAGCCAGTGATTTGCATAGAGAAGATGCACAGGAAGGAAAGGGCGGGGACTAGAGTTTGAGATTCTTTTGGGTTCTGGGAAGAGGGAAGAGGCTGTCTCTTGCGGTGACTCAGGGCAAAAAAAAAAAAAAAAAAAAAAAGGTTAGCTCCTTGCTACTCAGCCTCCCTGAGCTAGCAGGTTTTCACCCCAGCCTTTGACTCTCAAGTCTTATTGATAAATAGAAAAATAGAGAATTTAAATCTACATTTTATGGCTGCACCAGAGCTGCACCACTAGGGACTGGGAGCCCTGCCAGGCAGAGGCCTGAGTGGCTAGTAGTCAGGTGTGAGGGCGTAGGGCTGCAGGCAACAATTAAAATACCAGTAGGTTCAGGTGTGGCCACTAAGCAGACAGGAAAATCTCTTTTGCTTTTTCCAAAACAGGATTTCTCTGTGTAGACCTGGCTTCCCTAGAACACAGAGATCTGCCTGCCTCTGCCTCCCCATCCCAAGTGCTGGGATTAAAGGTAGGCACTAACAGCCAGGTAGTGGTGGCAGCACTCAGGAGGCAGAGACAGGTGAATCTCTGAGTTCGAGGCTAGCCTGGTCTAAAAGAGCTAGTTCCCGGACAGGCTCCAAAGCTATAGAGAAACCCTGTCTGGGGGGGGGGGGGAGGCATTCACAAATATGCCCTATTTTTATTATTTTAAATTGTGTTTATTTTTATTATTTTAAATTGTGTGTTTGTGTGTGTAGGTGCCCAGGGAGGTCAGAGTCTTGCGATGACTGTAACTGGAGTTACAGGAGGATTTGAGCAGCCCAACTGGTGGGTGCTGTGAGACCAGACTCAGGTCTTCTACAAAAGAAGCTCCTCTTTGAGACCGGGTCTCACTCAGTAGACCTGGATGGCCTAGAAACCACCAGGTTCTCTGTCAACTCTTCAGGATCCTCCTGCCTCCCCAGGGCTTAAACCGCAGTGCGGCTATCACACCCAGTGTGCAAATCACGTGTGGCGCCCCCAGATGTCATGTGTCGCCTGAACACAGTGGTAGCTCGCTTGCCCTTCAGTCAAAAGCGCGGCCCTCCAATGACCCGGAGGAGAATCCAAACTTGGCGAAAGGCCTCTGTGTGTCTTCAGGCCACAAACTAAAAAAAGCAGCCGCCCGTCCCGCCCCAACTAATGAACTATATCTAATAGTCTCTCTTTCGGGAGTCCTTTGAGAAGGAGGCGGTGCTTGGTTTTGACCTCATTATCCACGCATTTTCGCCCCCACCCCCACTGGGGCAGGTACATTCCTCGCATTCCTGCCTGCAGGAGCTGCTCGGAGGTCGTTAACCCCGGGCGAGCCTGAGAAAACGCGGCCGACTGCCTCCGCGAGTCCTTGAGGAGCAGGCACGAGATAACGAGAGGTGACGGGGTCAGCTTGGAAGCCCCCTTTCATTTTCTCAGCTTGCTTCCAACTCGGACAAAAGATTCTGTCCGGGGGGGATGCCAGGACCACTTGGCTTCGTTTGATGCTTTTTGGCCCTGGGAGGGGGGCCGGGAGGCCTGGTCATGTCTGGATATTGTTTTGGGGGAGCCAAGGCCTTCCTCTTGGGATGCCCTGGACCCCTGAAGGAATACTAAGTGGAAGGCCCGTACTCGGGCAAAAGAGACCACCCAGCTCCTGGGAGGCGGGTGGGGAGGGTC